GACGCCGTTGTACACAACCCTGTGGTTTTGCATACACTTATAAGAAAGCGTGGGAAATGGTGGATAAAAAAGACAATATCGTGCGGGCAATGTGTCGTACTCGCTCGCCGACTGTGTGTGGACGTCGGCCCCATCATCCCGCGGGATCCCAAAGAGAGGTAGGACGCGCCACATGCATGAACCCATGCACTTATCCATATTTTGGCTTTTGTTTCCCGCTCCACGATCCATTCAAGAAGCAGTGTTGTGCTTATGGACCCTTTCAGTCGAGCGGTAAAGACTCTGGTACACCACCAGAAACGGTCCGGGTTCGAGCACCTAAGCTCTCGCACGGACAAAGGAAGGGCTGACGACGAAGCTACGCGCATACATCGCCGCACTGGTGTGTGCATCTAGGTACAGTGCTTAACGGCGCACGGGCGAACGCTCCCGGCGCCCGCACGACGGACGTCGGCAGAGCTCGGGGCTGAAGCCGCGTCCGTCGTGGCGTCGATGAACGCCTGCGACTTTATCAAGCGGCATCCATCTCGTGCATGTAGCACCCCAATATGCATCGTTGTATTCGGCAAGTGGCCCTTGCTTCGAAAGAAGCGATCGTGCTGCGTGGTAAAGAACGGGAAATATGTCGTCGATGGCGTACATTGCTGCCTGCTGCTGCCACGTCACGTCGTCTACACGGCTAAGCAGTGCGGAGCCCCAAGCAACGCCGCTGAATCCCAGATGTTGGTGATTATTTTGATTAAAAATAATCCCGAAGCACTGGTGCTTCTGTTTTTGTGCAAGCGGGTCCTCCATTTGCATGGAGTTAGATACGAATGGCAGACTTTCTTCGCTGGGTAAACTCGGTGAAGCAGCGTGGCCCAGGCTAGCGTGGACTGACGCGCGATCCGCGAAGCTCAATGCAAAGTGGTCGTCGCCCCAAGGTTGACACTACTTACTTTGTCTACAACAACAAGCTCCATCTTGGGTGCGCCACAAAAATCCCTAGGGCGTGAACCGCGATGCCCTTGCGAGGCCACTCGAGTTGTTCAAAATGTCGAAAAACCGGTTGGCTCTGCCTCTTGATTGTGGTGCAGGTGTAGCTGAGCGACGACGTTGACGGGTAGCTACCCTCTTGGCAGTGGTAGGCAAGAGCGGAAGACGCGATCGTTCTGGACGTGCGAGACGTCAAACTCGAGACAGGCGGGGGCGGCCGACCTCGTGGGTCCATCGGTGGGTGGCGATAGACCCCCTGTATGACCGGGTGCCCTAGATTTATCCAAGGGCCATCGCATGTCGTAGTTGGCAACGTGTGACGAGTTCAAATCGAACGGCTGAGTCCAATGTAGCTGGCTCAACGAGTCTATTCTCTGTTCGACCTACTGTTCGAATAGCAGCCGATCGTCGATACCAATTGCACATGCGAGCGGTATGGCGCGACCGATAACATAAACGATGACGCAATAGCAGTTGAATTCAATGTATGTACAAGAACGGGATCCGCGAAGACAGCGCGCGCCTGGTCCAGCCGCTCTTTGGCCGCAAGATCACGCTCTTTCAGTCCCTATGAGACCTCGTCAAGGCTCTGTCAAATTCACTCTTTTCCTTTTTGTCGTCCTTGTAGAGGACAACTTTGTGGTGGCGTACTATAGAGATAAAAGCATGACACACCGAGTTTTGAACCCACACGGACTCGACGCACATTCCGATTTGGATCGACGCGCGTTGATTGCAGCTGATGTTGGCAAGCAGTACATCAGTACTAGTTCTTATGCTGGGAGTTTGAGATATAGGGAAGATTCTGTTTTACGACAGGACTAGCCAAAAGAGAGATATGACGTCTTGTGCAAAGTAAGGGGCAGCCCGAACGTATCAAGGACATACATAGACTGCAGCAGTATGTCCTAGATAGTGGGCACACCAATGGACACACTGAACAAGGTTGCTTCTCGCCGTGACGACGTGCTAGTATCTTTTCAGGAGGCCACTAACTACAGCAGCATCGTAACAACCCTAGCGCTGAGTTTGCGCTCTTGCGCCAAGTTGTTGCGAGAGCCTTTCAACCGCTCCTCATCACTTGCCACTTCCTATCATGGATTGCACCGAGATCCCTACGTGGGCTCCCTAGAAGAGGATGCTTCCTGGCTTTGGAACTGGATTTGGAAGGTAAGAAGCACCTTGTGGTGTGTCCTTCTTTACGCCACGCGATCTATCCACGGAGGGCAAAGAGCACGAGCGAGCCCAAAGTCAGAAAAATGCGCTCGCATCCCGTGAACGTCGCACTCGAAGCAAGAACTGTTCGAGTGCCGAGTATATCAAACCATTATAACAATTTCTGAATGGAAGCTCGTCCTTTTCGCCCAATTCGGTCGACAACGGAGCAGTAGAGCGATACGACAGACACTATTACAGTCGAGCGACTAGGTTTGAATGAGTGTATCTACTTCGAGCCATGCACACTTTTCAACACACACCGCTACAGAATCCAATGCTATCAATATCGGTATTTTGATTCTCGAGACTCTATGCAGGAACGCGCCGTGTGCATACTAACGAAGCTTGTCCCCCCAACGGTTTGCCTTGGTGTCATCCGTACGTTTTCCCATGCGGTGACGTTGGTCACCTAATTAGACTCAAATCAGCAACGCTAGGTCACCCAATGAACGAACGGTACCCAGGTGTACGGGATTCGCGTTCTATTCGTTGTTTGGTGTTTTGTAAGAAGGCGAATCTTAGTGGATTGAAGCCCACCGTTCCCCTAATCGCCCTACTAGGCGCGCCGTCCATGGCGCCGTGATGACGAAGATAGCTCGCCCTTCTTTGTGCCTATTACTGTCCTGTACTACACGGCAGACAAGTAAGGACACCCACTTCTGCCACTTCTGCTGGTGTTTTTACAAAATGCGAATAAAAAATTTCCGAGCTTCCTGTCGTGGCAAGCCACCCTTACGTCAATGTATAGAGCAGCAAGAACCGCTGGTCGTGAAGCGGCCGAGCGAACACCGTGGCGAGTCGCACACCAGACGCGAGGGACTGAGCTCAAACATACGTGTCGTCCTTTCAGCGCGCTGTGCCCAATCGGAATGCCGTTCCATGATGAACGACAACCAAATCGCCAGCGCTGTCAGCCAAATCGTCAGCGCTTCTGCCCCGACTATGCTACCATCGAGCTTTCTGGGAACGTAAAGGCGCTGAAACCACCTGCTGGGGCGCGTGCCATCGCTTGCCCGATCCCGATCCGAGGCCAGATCGGCGCCAAAATCGAGAACATATTTGGTCTGCCCATCGCTCTCTCTCCCGTATGTTCCTGTTGGCAGAAATGAAAACTGGCGCCATGCCGTCGTTGCCTCGTCGGTTCAACCACGTCAGCACGAGCCATCTCGGTCGCTCTTCGATTTCTTGGTCGGCGCCTCATCTTGCCGGCGCAAACAAGCGCCTGTCACCACCGAGGATACAAAAAGCTGTATAGAGCTGTATACCGATATGATGGGTGCAGCGCCACCCTTGTGTACTTTTAAAGCGCGTCGCGGCAGCGTGGCCGCGCCTCTGCCGTGTCTACGGGACATCAGCGCTCCGTTATCGTTGGCTACAAGATGGTAGTACCCTGTTGCTTATCGCCACGCTCGCCACATGGGCTCGACGCATACTACCGAAAAAGTTAATTGCTCGGCGCCACCGACAGCGTTCAGGCACTCGGGGTCGGTGGCAAGTCGCCCGCTTGCTCTCTTTTGACAGATTTTCGAGAGCTCCCTGCTCGAGGCATGCTTTGATGGGTCTCGGCTGCATCGATGCATCGAGCGTCAGACAAGACCTGGCAGCCACATGGATAAACAGCTGGTTGCACATCGCCAACGTGGGTGCTTGGCATCCAGCGCGGCGACGTGTGAGCAACACGCCACGCTTTTCCCATTTGTTGGTCCAATTGCCTCAATTGCCATTTTCATTTTTCAATTTCCCTTCTCGAGCACCACCACCGAGCATGCGCCTCTTTTCCACGACGCTCCTTGCGCTTGCGGCGGCGGTCGCGGCCGTCTGCCCCGACCCGGAGCTCAAGTCGCAATCGCCGATCGACTTTCCCAAGCTCGACCCGACGCTCAACAAGCAGAACGTGACGATGGCCTTTCCCAACGCCGCGAACGGTGTCATGATCCACGAAGGCGACACCATCAAGGTCAAGTGGGACGGCGGCAAGGACGCGTCCTTCGCGCTCAACGCCAAGACGTACAAGACGGCGCAATTCCACTTTCATGCGCCCAGCGAGCACACGGTGCGCGGCTACCAGTACCCGTTCGAGATGCACATTGTGCACCAGGCCGACGACAAATCGCTCGCGGTCATTGGCATCCTCTTCGAGGAGGGCCCGGAGGACAATGCTTTCCTCAAGGGCTTCTGGCCCTCGATCAAGCACCTCGGCGACGTGCACTCGAACGTCTCGGTGGCCAACGTGAACGCGGCGCCGCTCAAGCTCACGTCGGCCTCGAGTGTGTACCGCTACTCGGGGTCCCTCACGACGCCTCCGTACACGGAGGGCGTCGAGTGGACGGTGGTCACGGCCGTGCAAAAGATGTCCAAGGCGCAGCTGCAAATGTACAAGGAAAAGATCCATGAAGACAGCGCGCGCCCGGTGCAGCCGCTCTTTGGCCGCAAGGTCACACTCTTTCAGTCGCCGTAATACCGGCCTTTTATAAATTTCTGTTTTTGTCGAGAAAAACAGGTGGCCATGCAGTCGGACGAGGTGCAAGAGGAGGCTGCTGACCGCGTTAGACAAAGCATATTACAACGTACTCTACTTGTAGTAGTATAATAGATGCCAACCTGTTTAGAGTGTCGAGGTAGAGAGGAGGGTATGCCATCGATATTCCTCAATTCCTCGAAGACGAACTATTGAGGAATATCGAGGGGGCCATGTGGGTGGCGCATGGAATCGGGTTCACGATGCAGATGGCGCTTCGTCGACTGCTTTTTGTTTCGATTCCTGTTGCACACAGGATGAGGTGCCGGTGCGGGGCTCGAGCTCCGTGGGTGCTGTCCCTTTCTTCTCTTTTCCAGTGATGATGGCATCGGAACCATCCATTTTGATCTTCACAGCTGCGCTCGCGTGCTTGATGCTGCATTCGACCCAAGACTACGCGACGAACAAGAATGCGGACAGAAGAAACGCGGCGGCATACGACACATGTAGATCGATGGTCGCAGAAGAATGCATGAGCGACCCTTCACGTCTGCACGCTGGCTCGACTCGTCGACAGGTGGGTGCCGCCAGGTGCTGCGGACAGGTGCGAGGGATAGGGTCTACGGCACCGGAATAGGACACCTCCGAGCTATCCTCGCGCTGCGTTGTTATCTGGTGGCCGACACGATCAAGCGACTTGAAGGCACTTGCGAGGCGTCAGGCCAATCTCCGTGGCCTGCCCGTCGATCGCTTGACGATGCGCAGGCAACGAAGCAACCACTCGGTATGCTGCCGGCTCGTATGCAGCGTGAAATCCAACGCTTGCACCACGTATCCAATCGTATCCAGTGTATTCATCCACGCGCCTTCCGTCCCCATGGATCGATCCACTTGATTTATTGACGCCAAAGAGAGCTACATAAACCAGCCGAGCATGCGGTGGAACGGGTCGTACGGGTAGCCGTCGTCGTCGTCGTCGTCATCGTCGCTGTCCGAGTCGAACGCATTGCCGTCGCCGTCGCCGCCGTCGTCACTGTCGTCACCGTCGTCGTCGTCGGACGGGTACCAGGGCGCCTGCTCCGTCATGCCCGTAAACCACTCGCGCTCTTCCCGCATCGTCATCCCTTGAGGGTACGGACTCGAGACGACGCAGCAGCACGGACCAATGGGATAGTGCCGCATCATGTTGGCCAATGGGTAGAGCTGGCGCTGACACGCCGCCGTCATCGCGTGCAGCACACAGCCTTCCGAGCGGTGCTTGAGAAGGAACGATGCGATCTTGATGTGGTTGTTGCGGACCGCCGACGAAAGCGCATGCGACGTACAGCCCTCGTTCCGGTGGGCGTGGAGGAACTGGACCGTCGAGAGATGCCCGTGCTCGGCTGCCTTGTCCATCGCGTACGTCGAGCAGCCGTCGTCTCGATGTGCATGCAAGTACTTGACGACGCGGAGATGGCCGTGCTCGGCCGCCAAGTCCATTGCGCGGTGCGAGCCATAGGGAATGCACTGCACGAGCCGCAAGAAGCCATACTTGGCCGCAATCTGCAGCGCCGACGGCGTGATGAGATCGGGTGCGTTCTTGAGATGGAGATCCAGCAGCGCCTTGTAGTTGCGCTGGACGATGCGGTTCACAAGGTGCGGCGTCGAGAGATGCAGAAACGTCGAAAAGAGAAAGGTCATCGTGGGCCACGAGTCGGACGCCAGGGCATCCCAGAGCGTCGCCGTCGTCACCACGTCCCTTTGCAGCGCGACAAACCGTTGAACCAAGTGCGTGTGGCCAGCGCAGACAAGCCTCGACAAGAGCTGGCTCGTGCGGCTGCCAGGAAGGTGCACCAGGACGTACTCGACGACCTCCAAGAACCCTTCGTCAACTGCGTCGACGACCGCCATGCGCCGGGCGGCCAATGTGGGTCGCGCGGCATGCAGAAGCGTGACCATGGCCACGTGGCCACGAAGGATCGCGGCGCTGAGTGCTTGCTTGGTCACAATCGCAGTAGTCGCCTCGTCGCTCGCCAGCACAAACTCGAGCATCGAGAAGTCGCCATGCTCGGCGAGCTCGTCGATCGTCTCGGGATGGAGCCAGCGCTCCGGGCGATTCGCGTAGAGATACTCGACGACGTCGCGGTGGCCGGCGGTGGTCGCGGCCGTGATTGCGCGGGGCGTGCAGCCTTCGTCGCGGTGGGTGTGCAGAAAGCGAACGACGTCCAAATGGCCGTGCGTCGCCGCGTGGTCCATCGCCGCCGTGGAGGCGCGCTCGGGTCGATGCTCGTGGAGGAACGTGACCATGGCGAGGTCGCCGCGGCTGGCGGCGGCGTCCAGCGCGCCGGCGCGAAAGAGCTGATGAAAGCCATGTTCGTGGAAGAGCCGCATCATGTCGAGGCGCCCAAGCAGAATGAGCGCAAGCATGACGTCGTCGCCATGGCGGATCGCTGACGCAGGGGTGATAACGCGCTGCTCGACGAGGTACCGCATGCACGCAAACTGCCCGGCGTTGTGCTCGCGGCTGCACGTGCAGCGCGAGAGCGCGTTGACAATGCTGTAGAGGACGTCGTCGGACGGCGAGGCCTTCTGTGTCGTGTGCAAGAAGGCGACGGCGTCAATATGGCCGTTGGCCGCGGCGCGGTCCATCGCAAACGACGTGCAGCCCATGCCTTGGTCGTGGAGATACGTCATGGTGCGGACGTCGCCGACCTCGGACGCAATGTCGAGCAGCCCGCGTGACGAGAGGGTTCCGTGCGGCGGCTCCGAGAGCCGGAGCGGGGCCGCGAGTTCCTTGCAGCGCAAAAGCCGCTTGACGAGCTCCAGGTCATGCTCGCTGAGCACGCTGAACCAAATGCGTGCGCGCTTGTTGCTCATGTACAGCAGCGCCGTGACGTTGTCGCCGCGGTAGGCGTCGATGCTGGCCGGCAGCATCTTGTGCCCGAGAAAGTACGGCCGCAAGCAGAGGTAGATGCCATCCTGGTAGTCGGCGATGAGGCTCATGAGCCCCAGGTCGAGGAGGACGCGGGTCGCGCTCGGCGACGCCTGGAACGTCCGGCGCCGCTTGCGCTGGATCGTATCGTACGACGAGCGCATCCCAACCGTTGCTGCAACCGAAATTCCACCTTGGTCTGAAATTTCAAAAAAAGCCGGGTCGCGCCCGGGGCACGGCGACAGGCCAGCCGCCCATCGCAGGGCGCGTCGAGGCAATGGTTCATGCCGACAACACTGGCCAGCCACCATGCCAGGCGCCATCCATCCATCCATGGGCAGCACCCGCCTGCAGCCCACGCCGCTGCAGCGCCGCACGCAACCACGACCTGTCGCAAGCAGCAGCATATCCATGCAGCCTGCCCTGCAACGAGCTCCATGCGATGGGCCGCGCCTCTGGCCGTCGGCGACGTACGAGGCCTCGACCATGCTTGCATTAGCATGAGAATGATGCCGTCGCGAGGCCACTCTACCGGATACATTGGATGCATCCTTGCTCGCGGACGTGGAAGACACGCGCGGCCATGACCGCAACGGCCAGCTCGCACGCCACGCCCACCACCGTTTATGCAGCCGTCGCCGCTGCTACAGTTCGCCAAAGCTTAGTACCACCGACAGCCAGACCGACAGCTACCTACAGTGTAGCAATGGCGTGCGTCCAGCGGCCGCTGGCCATGCTTGACCGCGTCTCGGCAGAGGTCGAACGCTCCCGTTGTCTTCGTGGTCTTGCAAGCATGGCTTGCGCCCTCCTCTACACAAGCGCGCCGCCGGCCATGAGCTCGATGCCATGGACCCGCCTGCCACGTCAACCGGTGTATATCGCCATCCTCCTCCCGGTCGTAATCGTGGCGTCTGTGCTAACCGCCACGTCAACCGTTAAGAAAATACAATGCATCATTTATGAACCGTATCGATCTTTGTATGTGGACGCGGTTGGGTGCAAAAAATACACCGTGGGCGCAGTGCCACGGTCGTCACAGTTGACGTTTTGCCACCAAGCCCCGACCCGGCCATGGCACGTGAAGCACCGCCGGGCGTCCCGCCCGAGGTCATGCAAGTGCTCGAGCTCTTCTTCGACAGCGGGATCTTCCCCATCCTCATGCTGGCCCTCTTCGCCTACAAGCTGCTGCCATCGACCGACCCGATCCTGAGCCTCGTGCGCCCATCATCTCTCGCCATGCATCGTCGCTCATCTGCATGGCGTTGTAGGAGCAAGTGAACCGGAAGCGACCCAAGTTTGGCGAGCGCCATGTGGCCTTCAAGACAGACCTGGTACGCGCAGCGGGCCAAGGCGATCATTGATCTCTGTCGTCGGTGTGTAGAAGTGCTACATTGGCTCCGAGACCGGGCCCGACGGCAAGACCAAGGTGCTTGGCGACAACGTGTGCGGCCGCCAAGTGTGGCGTCCCCATGGTAGTCCTCCTATCTGAATATGCAACGCTCAAGCCATCGACGCTAGGCGAAACGATTGAGCTCCCGCCCTTCTCGGCGGCCGAGAACCCGAACGCAGGCGACAAGCTCTTTCGCCAGCTCATGCTCAAAGGCAAGAAGGCATCGGCGCCGACGACGCCCGCGTCCTCCAATGTAGAAGAAGCGCTGCTCAAGGCCATTGACTTTTACCAGCTTCTCCAGGTGCATACCCTTCATTCTCTTGTCGCCGCTTGCTCATCCTTGTGTCTCTAGAGCGAGGATGGGTCGTGGCAAGGTGACTATGGTGGCCCCATGTTCCTCCTTCCTGGCCTCGTTGTCGTCTGCTACATCACGGGCCACGACCTTGGCCAGTCGATGAAGGACGGCCTGGTCGTGTACCTCAAGAACCACCAGCAGCTCGACGGCGGGTGGGGCATGCACATTGAAGAAGGCTCGACCATGTTTGGCACTGTCATGAACTACGTTTCGCTGCGTCTCCTCGGTACGACGACGATCATCCCATCGTGATGAGGCTCATGCACATGCAGGCGTGCCGGCCAACGACGATGCGTGCATGGAGGCCCGCGCCTTCATCCGTCGCCACGGCGGCGCGACACAGGTCCCGTCCTGGGGCAAGTTTTACCTCTCGGTGCTCAACGTCTACGAGTGGGCCGGCATGGACTCGGTGCCGCCCGAGATGTGGTGCCTCCCATCGTGGTTCCCGTTCCACCCCGGTCGCATGTGGGTGCACTGCCGCATGGTACCTTCTTATTGACGGCGTATGGGGCTCATGGCATATACTAGGTCTACTTGCCCATCTCGTACCTGTATGGCCGCCGGTACCAAGCGCCGCTCACGCCGCTGCTCAAGGAACTCCGCGAAGAGCTCTACATGACGCCGTACAGCCAAGTGTCGTGGTCGGCGGCCCGGGGCGCGTACTGTCCGCTGGACGAGTACCACCCGCCGTCGCTCTTGATGCGGGCCGCCAACTACCTGCTCTCGTGGTACGAGCTTTTGCCTGCGATCACGCCGTTCCGCCGCCGTGGCCTCGAGTTCGCGATCCAGTTTATCCACGCCGAAGACGAACAGACCAATTACTGCGACATTGGGCCGGTCAACAAGGTCATGAACATGCTCGCGGTGTGGGTCGATGACCCGACCTCGGACGCGTTCAAGAAGCACCAGCAGCGCATTGAAGATTACCTCTGGTACGTCCTTCAATCCTCTCCTCTCTTGCTATGCATCTCTTGCTTTTTATCTCGTGATATTTCTTGATTTTTTTTATATTTACTTGATTTTTTGATATTTACTTGATTTTTTGATATTTACTTGATATGTATGGGTAGGGTCGCGGAGGACGGTGTCAAGATGCAAGGCTACATTGGGTCGCACACGTGGGACACGAGCTTTGCGATCCAGGGCTACTTTGAGGCCGGCATGGGTCTCCGCGACGTCAACAAGAAGATGGTTGCCCGCGCGTACCACTACCTCGAGCAAGCGCAGAACCGCCACGAAGTCGAGAACCGCGCGCACTGGTGGCGCAGCGAGCAAAAGGGCGGCTGGGGCTTTGGACCGTCGGCCAACGGGTACCCAGTCACGGACTGCACGGGCGAGGCCATGAAGGCGATGCTGCTCATCGATGCGCACGCGGGCGACGATCTTCTTGCGACCACATTGCCGTTTGAGCGCTACTGCGAAGCAGTGGACTTTCTCTTGGCGCTTCAAAACGACGACGGTGCGTCCGGATGTTATGGGAAACCATATCCTCTCAACCGTCTTTTCTAGGTGGCTTTCCCACGTATGAAAAAAGCCGCGGGTTCGAGTGGTACGAGTACCTCAATCCCGCCGTCATCTTCGGCGGCATCATGATCGACTACTCGTACATTGAGTGCTCGTCCACGTCGCTCTGCGCGCTGGCCATGTTTCACGCCAAGTACCCGAGCTACCGCCCCGAGAAGATTCGTCGCGCCATCAAGCGGGCCGAGACGTTCATTCGCCACCAGCAGTTTGCCGACGGCAGCTTCTTTGGCAAGTGGGGCGTCTGCTACCTCTACGGCACGTGGTTTGCGGTCGTCGGGTGCGTGTTGTCTCTTGTATTTTGGACAGATTGGCATCGCGGTCTTCTAGGCTGCGCGGCGCGGGCGCGACCGAGGACGACGAGGATGTTCGGGATGCTGTCAAGTTTGTGTGCTCCAAGCAGCGTGCGGACGGTGGCTGGACCGAGAGCTTCTTCGCCTGCGTGAGCAAGCGGTACCTCGAGACGGAAGAGAGTCAAGTCGTGTCGACGGCATGGGCGCTTCTCGGTGCGACGCGGGATGCGATTGATCAAGTGGGCTGAAAGTACGATGCTGATGTAGCGCTCATGAAGGGCATTGAGCGCACGAACGGCCCGCAAGACGGGTTTGAGAAGGAGTGGGACGCGGTGCGCCGTGGCATTCGGGTATGTTGCCACAACATGTCGGGCGAGGACGAGGGCTGATCTTGATATCTGGATAGTTTTTGATGTCCAAGCAGCTCCCGAGCGGCGACTGGGACCAGGAGCGCATCTGCGGCGTCTTCAACCGCAGCTGTGGCATCACGTACACGGCGTTCCGGAACGTGTTTCCGTTCTGGGCGCTGGGTCTCTACCATAAGCTCCAACCTGGCCAGTCGCTCTAATGTCGAGCTGCGAAGGGTTAATACGGTTGTTGCCTTGTGTAATGTATTGGATTGCATCTGCGAGCGTATCTTGCCACCGACGACAGCAACGGACGTAGATTCAATATGACGTGGCACGACGTCGCGTCGAATCTCGATGACAGTGAGACGACACCTCTAAGAACGCATTTTACGATCTATGCGGTGTGAGAGGGACTGAATCTTGACGTGCGGGGTCCGACGACGGCAGCCGAATCTTCGCCGCGAGGGTTTGTCCCAATGTCCCAACAACGCCGACGTCATGCATCTCTGCGTGTTGCTGTGTGGTTGCTTGGAGCTCTTGCTTGGGTATTAAGCTGTGTACGAGTATCATTTTCGGTCCTCGCCAGTTCGCAGCGTCTTCGTTTCGTGCAAAATTTTGTGAAAAGAATTCAATTCACGGAAAATGCAATGGAAGGTATCCAATTCCTGGAAACAATCGCTAATACGGCATGTCATCTTTCGCGTCTCAAGCAAATATGTAGCGGTTTAGTGCGGTCTTGCTCGTCCCTCTTCATGCCGACCGAATCCACACACGCCACCAAGTTTTGGGACCTCCCAACCGCTTTCGATGGTTCTTCTACTGCATGACATTGTGCCTTGGCTCTACCAAGGAGATAACAACCCTTAGCTCTACTGTTCCATCCATCTTGTGTCTTTTTGGAGGCAGGAGGTACACTTGCCGGCAGTCGAATCTCTTCGTCCTCGTGCGTTTTTGGCGGCAAGGCAAGGTTTGTCCCAAGATCCGATGTGGGACAAACTCGGCCGGCGTAAAATTCGGGCGCGAGAATCTACGAATGCGTTCTGAGAGGTTTCTGGTCGCCCTTGGGTTTGAATACCTTGCAACATCCTATCTCGATGAGCTTGCTTGAAGTTGCATGGTACGCGAAAACGGCTTGAAATTAATTTCCGCAACTTCAATTCAATCCATACGCACTTTGTTTTTGTATGGACCATCCAAAATGCGAAAAAAATACGCTTCTCCTGTGTTTTCTCGGCTGCTTGAAGACCTTTGAAAATCGATATTCGTGGCACGCGGAACCGCCGCCGCAGTCGAGAATATCCCACCAAGTACCCAAGAAGATGATCAACAAGGTCCGCACGATCCAGAGCAGCAAGCGCGCCCGCGGCTCCGCGAAGAAGTCCAAGAAGCTCCAGCAGCTCGAGCTGCTGCAGGCCGTGGAGGCCGCGACCCTCGACGAGCTCTTGATCGTCCCCCTCGTCCCGACGACCGAGACGACGAGCTCCAAGACGACCCCCAGCATGCCCATGAAGCCCAGCGACGCCCATGACGACGAGAAGACGGACGTCGAGGAAGACGAAAGCGATGCGAATGACGACGAGGAAGACGTGGTCGTCGTCGCGAGCCCGACGGCGTCGAGCGTCTGCACGCGCTTCCTCAGCAAGAGCTTCTGGAGCCCCAAGGACATCAAGGCGCACGCGTCCGACCCTGATGCGACCTTCTCGGTGAGCATCCCGAGCTTCCGCGATATGGACGAGGGGTACATTGCGTACAACGTCGTGGTTGAGACGCCGTACCACACGTGGGCGGTCGAGAAGCGCTACTCGGAGTTTGTGCTATTGGCGCAGACGCTGCAGCTCAAGGAGATCCATATGGACCTCCCGCCCAAGACGTGGTTCAAGGTCACGCAAGACACGGTCTTATCCGACCGGCGAGAGCGCCTCGAGGCGGCGTGCGTCGACCTGCTCCAGCGCGACAACATGACGTCGGTCCCGCTTGTGCGCGAATTTTTCCAGCTCGACGTCTTTGCCATGAGCTTGACCGACGTTAGCCCGTAAACGTCGTGTCGTTCGAGCGCTCCGCATGGACGACCGCTTGTGGCCAGGCCTCCACCGACAAAATCGCACGTCCCCTCACACGACGACCATGTACCATTATACCAACCTCATTAGCCTGCTAGCCCACACCTCCATGTGAGACCTTATTATAAACCATAAAATACCCTCCATTTCCACCACACTGAAGCGCTCCGACGACGGCGACGAGTGGGCTCCGACGACCTTCATTCAGTCGTCTTCGCAGTCGTCAGCCGACCGTGCAAGGATATCATCACTGTCGTCAGCAGCCAAGAGCTCCGTTCCAGTGACCGCGCCCCGGACCGTCGGAAGCAGCATCGTCTCGAGGGTTGCCAACTCATGATCACTTCCGTTGCAGCAGGTACGACACATGGCTTCTTGAAGCGACCCTCTTGTTCGCCTTCGATCCTTTAGCGCCTTCCGCGGCTGCTTCCCAAGGTTGCTGACAGTGGTCGTTTATATCCCCGCGGTGCAAGGGAATATTTTCCTCGTAGGAACGTTTACGTGGTGTACCGGTACCAGCATCCCAGGGGAACAGGTCCCGCGCGGGAGCGACCCTGACGCTCCTTGCAGCGGCCGTTTGCTTCTGGACGGCGACGTGCGCGTCGATTGTTTTGAGCTTCTTGACTACCTTCATCAGCACGAGCCGCCAGCGTGCGCAGACCGTAGCGACCAAGTGAGAAGGCGAAGCAAAAGTGACATATGCTTGGCGAAGAGATGGCCAACGCGTCGTCGCTGCCACAAGAGGCGTTTCTCGCTTGCATTCGGCCCACTCAGGGACGTAGATGCACAAGTACCGTCCTCCTCTCGCGAGCAGGTCGCTGGTGTGGGACTGCACTTGGGAAAGGGTTGTGTGTTTTTTACGTGCTTACGTGGTGATTTCAAGGCGCTGCAGGACGACGTTCCAGAGCCGCGCGGCCGGATAGAGCACAAGCGTGCTAGGAACGTCAGTACAGTGCTGGTCGAGGAGAACGCCGTTGACTTGGAAAGAAATAGAGTCGTCGTCGCGCGTGACGAGGACGGTTGTCTCGTCCAAGGGCGGAACCACCACCGGTGGCAACGGCCCGGGGGATTGCGCAGGGTAGGCCTTGAACGCGGCGTGGATCTTGCCAGCGCTGCGATCGAGAGGACGTACCCATGGACGGTGGCGCCTGCCTCGCGCAACGCTTCGCGGGGGCAGTAGCCGACCTCAAACGAAGACGCGGTTTTGGCCGAAACGCAGAAACGTCGCAGCGGCATGGTCGCGACGGCGCCCACAAATGCGTTGGATCCTCGCTGCTTGGCCATGACCGTGTCGCCCGCACTCAATAGAACGTCGTCGTGGCAGTGGGTGGCATCCCACGCGGCAACTGGAGAAAGTCGACGAGCTTGTAAAAGTCCGCTTGCGCGTCGCCAGGGATGCGATTGAGAGGCAGGTGGCCGCTGCGAAAGTACGTCATGATCGGGTCAAAGTCCAGAACGTATTCGCCTAACCCACCATTTCGTGTGTGTGGCCACCAATACTAGTACCATTGTCGGTGGGCGGCCATTGGAGCAACGCGTGGAAGTAGCTGTCTTCAAACCGCAAAAGGGTCTCGCGCGACGTTGCAAAGCGTGTACCACCGACGTTGAGCGTGACGATCTCGGTCGGTGGCGCGACCGTCGAGCGCTGGGTGGCGCGGAAAGCAGAGACGATGTCGGTGACAAAAACATCGAACGGACCTTGCACCTCTGGCGACAGGAGCGTTCGTAGCTCGGCCCAGCGCGCCTCGAACGCATCGCTTGCCGTCGACGTCATTTGCCGTCAAAAAGAAAAGTGAACAACACAACGACGTGATTGGCTACAACCGGAATCGCTGGCCACCTCTCTCGCCTCTGCATGCTATGACAACCAACTGCATAATCTTCGGCGGTCGTCGCACGTTTGGTGGCTTGGATCATGACGTGGCGTCGTGCTAATGCGCGGATGTTTAGTTAGTCGATTGGCGTCGACTACGATGTGGCCATGATATGGCCAATCAGCGTGCGTGCACGCAGACTCGCGTATGATTGGTCCAAACGGAATTGCTCGACTTGCAACATGTTGCTGCGGCGAGGCTTGAGCACGCAGCGGCGATCGCTGCTGGGAAGCGAGTACCCCAAGCCGACGAAGCGCACCGCCAACCTCGGTTGCATGGGAACCTCGATGCCACGCCTCATGATCGTCCATAGTCTGCGGCAAGTGCGAGAACGTTCTCGTCGCGACGCACGACCTCTTCTTCCTCAACTGGTACACTGCGACGCATGCGCATGGCCATGGTTAGCCGGCGCGTAGGCTCAAGGGCGTGCATGTGGCGAGCTTCCAGAACATTGCACTCGAGAACGTCAAGACGGCGGCGCACCCGCGGTCGCCCAAGGAGCCCTGGAAGCAAGCGAAGCTGCGCTGCTGCGCGTGCGACCAAGACGTTGCGACGCGCGCCAATGTCCGCGGCCAAGAGGCGACGCTCTTCTCGGCCAAGAACGTCTCGTTTCAACTGCCGCTCGGGTCGAGCCCGATCGTGTCCATGTCGGGGTTGCCCTCGGACTTGATTCGGTTCTCTTCGTACGTGACTCTAATTTGCTGTAGCATACGCATCCCAACGACCTCGTAGATGGGGCGACCTGCTGGCGCAGACGACGGCATCTACGAAGCTTCGATCGATCCTCAACATTCGCCAAGTACACGTGTCGTCCATGCAACGATCGTTTTCTTATCACAAAATATCTTTTAGGACCACGACACGACCCAGAGCGCAGCCAAGAAGGACCCAACAACGGACTTTAAAGAATTCAACACCAAGCTGCTTCTCGCCGAGTCGGGCGCCGAAGTGCTCTCGCTGATGGAGGCCCAGGTACGCGACCTCCTGTTCGCATCGTCCATTCTGAACGTACGTGCATGCAGCACCCACGGTCGCTCAACCACGTCAACGTGCTCACAGCGTTTCAGCGGTTTGCTATGTTTCACATCCAGACGCACCGCGAGATCTTTGCCATGGTAGGATCGAGTGTCTTCACGATGTGCCATTTGTTTCACGGCCATTTGGATAGAAACGCAAGCGCATGGGCGCGATGGCGTCGATGCCGTCGTCCGACAGTGACGACGACGACACGCTCATCGCACTCGAGCGCTCCAAGTACCAGCGTCTGCATTTGGATACGATGCTCATCTACTCGACGCGGTAGCTTGGACAATTTGTTGACAGCCAAGGGTTCACGCTAGGGGTAGGTTTTGGAATTTTGTCGACGAGCTCGAGCGGCACGTGCAAATGCATTTGCACCTCGTCCCGTCGCGGTTTCTCCACGGCTTGATGAAGTCGCTCATCGGCCTCCAGCTCGCCCCGTCCGGTGTCATGGCGTACGCTTTTTCTATTTATTTTTATTTTTTGCATTGATATTTTGTCGATGCTTAGCACCAGGAGCCTCGCCCAACAAGTGCTCTACCGTCTCGACCAAGATCGCATCACGCCCGAGCGGCTCGTGCACCTGTTGCACGGCTTTGCCTCGCTCTGCGCCGCGGTACACTTATCATTTTCGAGTCCTTTCTTGTGAAACAGCATGGCCTTGGGTAGGATCGAAGCGCGCAGGCGTGGCTGCCCGAGCTTTTTACGCGTGTGAGCAACTACGTCCTTGCGCCAACGGTCCCGAGTTTGTCGCCCGAGCTCCTCGGCATGCTCGCGTGGTCCTGCGCTGTGGCCCAAGTCCCACACGTCGGCGTCGCCACCAAGCTCTTTGAGACAGCGAAGACGCACAAGAGCCCAAGCATGGCCTTTGCGACGCAGGTGTACCAAGTCCACCTCGAAGACTGGCCTGGTGCGATAGTTTGATGGTGCAAATGACGGGTGGACGTGGGAGTGTAGGTTCGCCACGGCTGCCCGACGCGACGCTGGAGACGTTCAAAGCCAAGCTCCTGCAGCAGGTCGACTGTTTTGTATCAACGTATCAACTCGTGGCTGATGGCCATTGGACACTAGCAACAACATTTCGTCGCATCTGCACCGACAGATCTCGACGACGTTGGCGCGCATGGAGATCCAGCACACGAACGAATATGTGCTTTCCCAAGGGTACACTTCGCGGCCATGCAGCAGAAATAATGGAGCATCATCGGTGGGATAGGTACTCGCTGGACATTGCGCTCGTTGACGCCAAGATTGGCATTGAAGTGAACGGCCCGATGCACTACCAGCTTCGGCGCAACCCGACCGAGCAGTATGCATGCTCGTCCATCGGTCGCATCGTCATTCTCTTTGGATGCAATAGGTGGCTCATGGGCTCCACCTTGCTCAAGATGCGCCACATCCAGCAAGAAGGCTGGACCGTGATCCAGGTGTCGCACTTGGATTTCACAAAGCTGCCGACGCCCAAGCAGCGCGAAGACTACCTCAGTCTACTCCTCGAAGTCGCGACCGCCAGCCGCGCGCGGCCACCGTCGGCTGCATAGACTTTAGGATAAGAAGGAATAGAGAGAGTATGCTTGGATCGACCAGCGCTTGTTGGCAGGATACTACCGCATTGCATCTCGCGGAGCAGGCGCGCGGAAGCCATCGACAGAGACATGCACGGCATCCTGCCCCAACGCAGCAAGATGTACAGTGCAGAGTGCTACGGCGTCGGCGGCGTCGGCTCCATGGCACACGCCTCGGTGGGCCTGCCGCTGCCGCTGGCCGCTTCTCGACTGCTGATTGCTACATGAGGTGCATGCCATGCATGGCCATACCACGCGATCGCCGCCATGGGCCTTTGTGACCGTCGTCGCCAAGGCTACGGCGAGCGGTTGCGGCAAGTCCGTGGCCGCGTCGCCGTCGTCCTTCTCTGCAGTCGCACCTTGTTGACGAATCCGGGTGCGTCGTCGTACTTACGGGAATATTTTGCGTATTTTCTCAACCGCCTGGTTCGATCCACTTAATGTTTGTATGCGCATCTGAGTAAAATGGAGAAATTCCGGTAAAGTGCGGTCGTGGTCGCGCCTGGGCTGGATAGCAACTTGGTCTTTCACGCCTCTATACATAGCCGCTTGACGATGATGTCCAAGCGTCGCGGCAACGGGAAGGACGGCAGCAAGCCCGAGATGGGCATGGCCCAGCGCATGACGCTCAAGATCCTCTCGCTCTATGACAGCACGACCAACGTCGACGCCATCATCCAGGAGCTGTACCATCCCGAAGCGACGTTCTCGGACCCGCTGGTCGAAGGTACTTGCGTCGCCATGATGGCCTCGCCGCTCATGCTCGTCTAGTCTCTGGCCGCGACAAGGTTGCCGCCCAGTTTCGCGTCTTGCCATCGTTTGTCGCGCAGTCGCATGCGACGTTGATCCGCGGCTCGATGGCGGGCGTGAGCATCCTCACGATTGACAGGTAGATGATGCGGCCAACTGTGGTGTAGCGGCTCATCGATATCTAGCACGGTCACGTACAAGCTCAAGCCGTTCCCAGAGTACATGGGCGGCGCCTTGCGGATGTTTACGGTCATTGAGCTCGAAGATCAAAAGGTACAGGCTTCGATCCTCGCGGAACGGGGCATTTTACACGATTAGGTCATTTCCCACACGGACCATTGGGACATCCGCTCGGTCTTGGAGAACGTCCCGATGCTGTCGTTCTTTTACCGGCATCTGCGCACGAGTGTCGGGAGCGCGTCGTCGCATGTCATCAACGTCTTCTTGCCCGAGTCGTCGCCGCCGTCGGAGGAGACCCAGCTCCTCGACGCGCCGAGAACCGACCACGACTAGGACAACTCGTTAATACAATAGTTTATAGCGAGACAACCGTCGCACGCTTGGATGTTTGTATCAACTTGATACTCGACAACAGCGACGACGCGGACAAGCGACAACGACATGTACTCGCCACACTCTCCGTGCAAGCAGTGGACAAGTGACCGCCGCCATCGTCCATCGCCGTGGCCCGCTCAACAAGTGTGCACACGATGTCTCGATCGGGATGGTAGAGGGGCGAGGGCGAGGCCTCTCTTCACTACCCTACCCCTAGCACGACTCTGCACTATCCATGGGCAGCCATACAACATGAACATTGTACGGGCCCTTGCGTTCCAATGTCCAGCTGCGTGGGGCTGCATCGTGAGCTCCTTGCACGAGCGAGTTTCGACCCCTCGCCCTTTGTTGCGCTGCGTGCGGGCTCATGTTGCACAACGGGTCGCGTGATGCATCGTACTGTACATTCGTTTAGTTGAATGCAAGTCCTGCAAACGGATCCCGACCGCCGGCCTTGGGTGCGCCGTAGCTCTGCGCGTACCCTTGCTGCTGCTGTTGGGGCTGGCCATAGCCTTGCGCAGGGACGTTGTTGTAGCCGTAGCCGGTCGGTTGCGACGGGTACCCTTGGCCGTACGACGCGTGCGGTGGGCCGTAGGCGGCGTGGGGGTGGGCCACCATGGTCGGGTCCAAGAGCGAGCTGATGCTATGGCCACCCGACGGCGGCCCCGACAGTTGCACGGGCGCAGTCGGAAATGCCGTCGGCATGCCCGCCGCGTTGAGCGACGGGGGCATCGCAACGGCAAATGGGTCGGCGGCCGGCGCGCCTTGGAACGCTGACCAGTGACCACCGTTGTTGTTGGTGGTGGTGGTAGCAGTACTGCTTGGTGCGTTGAAGAGCGACGGCGGTGCCGGCGAAAACGACGCCGACGACGATGGCGCAGCCGAAAAGCCAAACGGATCGAACGAAGCCGTCGACGACGGTGCCGGAGCGACGGGCGCAGAGAACGCGTCAAACGTCGGTGACGCGACCTGCGGCTTGACTGGCGCCGAAAACGCTTCAAAGGACGCGGGTGCCACCGGGGCCGAGAAGGCTTCGAACGACGCTTCGAATGCCGGCGTCGGCGGCGGCGAGAAACCGAGCAGGTCGGCGCCTAGGTCATCACGCGTTGGCCTCCTTGTCGCGTCAGCAAGGGTACGTACTTGGCGCCGCAGGAGTTTCCTTTGCTTTCCGAGTCGAGGCGGACGACGCGTTCGACGACGATGGCGCTACACAAGCATCTTGTTAGTCGAGACAGGGTGCTACCTGGCGTACGGCTGGGCGCGCCCTCGGCGTAAAAGGCGCGGTCGTTGTACACGGTGTTGATAAAGCGCTTGAAGACATCGACGTGGTCCGACTCGGTCGGCTTGCGCATCGAGCGGCCGTCTTCGTAGGCGCCGAGCCACGTCCGGCGCGCGACCGCGTTGCCGCCGCCGTTCTCTTCCTTGAGCGCATCGACCTCGTCTTTCGTCCAATTGGACATGGTCACGCTCTACGCGATCATGTTCGTCATGGCCATGTCAAGGCGAGGACCAGGTACTTTGACGCGGTGGCTGTAGCTCTGGTGCGCGCTCTTGCAGTTGTTGCAGACGAACGTCTTGAACTTCTCGCAGATGTTCGAGTGGCCAAACTTGGCGACCGCGTCGCAGTTGGCGCAGGCCTTGTTGGCCTCGAGCTTCCGGATCGTGTTAAGGGCCGCTTCCGCCATCGGTCTCCTCGGGGCTTGGCCGCGACTCTAAATATGGGGCCCTCGTCGCCCGCCCCGCCAGACGCGCCGATGCCATTGGCCAATATGTTGGCGCCGATAAAAATATGCACCAATTAAAATCGACACGAGCAATTACACGCGTTCTTTGACCGGCATTGCTTACGTGGCTTAATCGTGGCATGTGGCCGCTTATTTCTGGCGCGCGCCAAAAGTAAGCGCCAGACGCCTGTACGACATGGTGGGGAAATGCGCGCTTCGCTCGTCCTCTGGTTCGCACCAGCAAAACACTCTTGCGCCTCTCGCCGGTTGTATTCGTCGTTCTACGTAGCTGCTCAGTGACACATGCACTCGATCCAAGGCGTTGGCTGGCGCAACGACGAGTCAGGTGGACAGACCCAACGTTGTGCACATGCATATCCGAAGGTAACGTTATCGCTGGCCTATGAGACGATGACCTTCGCCAATGCCTTCTGCGACTGTTCAGCACTTCACCAAGTTCACTTTCCAATACCTCGCAGTGTCCTCTACGCAAGACAGGTGAGCCCTACCCCTCCATGGGATACCTACAGCTGTAGCCTGCCCTCGGCAGAAAACGAAGGATATGTGACCAAGGCGACAGAGTCCCGCCAATGCAACGAGACTCCCAGATGTCTTGCAACGCTCGCGCGCTTTCTGCAGCCAAGGGTATACCGGTGTGTGCCTTTTGGCTCGTCGTTACGCGGTACTCACGATCTGGATCATCCGCGGGCTTGGCTACAATGCCAACGCCAGGCTTGAATCGATGAGGTCTCGGCGCGCAGTTGGGTTTCCTGTGCGGGCGACGCCTCTTCATCTTGCCTTGCAGCACGATTGGAGGCAAGACTCTGCTGTCGGCGTCCGGTCTTTGCGCATCGAGCTCTGTCTCGACGACGCCAATGGAGAAAGATCGCTGCGGCACATGAGGTACTGGTCTCAAAAGCCGAGACAAAACGACGGTTGGTGCCCACATCAAGGTACGCACAGATGCGCTTTTCTACTTGACGCACGCCGCCTGTGGTCGCATCGCCGGAGGCCACCTCGATGATCGTCGCCTTGGCTCGTTTGCCCTTGATCTGTGGTATGCTAGCGTGCACCGTGAGAGTGTCCATAGTATCGGGCGCTCTCGGACTCGATCGCGGTTGGCTCTCTCGTCCATGTCAAATTGATGTATTGTTGGTTCCGTATGTCGAGTCTGTAGCAGCTTTGCTGCTCGAGGCAGTACATCGCCATAGACGACAGCGGCATGCTGAACGCAACCATGCCATGGCCTTGTTACGCGTGCAGACGCTTGGCCAACGCTACGAAGCCTGCGTCGCGCGCCACATTCGCTGCCGTTCGACTAACCTACAGCAACATGTGCATGTGAGCATTCTCTCCTTCTCCAAGTGCGAATGTGCCTCGTCCAAAAGCGACGCATCTGCGTTGGCAGACAAGAGGAGCTCCACGACTGGTCCATGGCCCGCACGTGCAGCCACATGCAACGACGAGCATCGGCTCTACACCAACGTCACGTGCTCTCAGGCTGCAAAGCGAGATGATGGATACCGCGTCGGTTGCATTGACGTTGGCGCTGGACGCGAGCAGCCTGGCGACCGTCGCTTCGTCGCCACGCACGCTGGCGGCATGCAGGGGCGTGCGACGCCACTAGTATCACGGAGGTGTAGAAGAAGCGAAGAAAGTCGTCGAACGTACAAATGCGTCGCAGCAGCTTGGATCGACGCCGCATCGCAAAAGCGCGTCGACGTCGGCCACGTGTCCGTCGCTGGCCGCCGAATAGAGCCGCATCTATGTCCAGTTATACTTAGGTAGAAAGGCGGCGGTGGACCTCTCGACCAACGACGTGGAGGTGCTCGGCCGATGCTTTGAGACTCGCCAACGATGGTCCGCTGACCGACGCGACGACAGGCGAGGTTACGTCCCCATAAAAAGCAAGGGCAGGCGAGGATTGGAGACGAGCGTGGACGTCGGGCTCGGTTGCTTCGTCTTGTTGGGCATACAAGAAGTGCGCCATGGCATCGAATTTTTTTCGAGTGCGATCTCAAGCGCCGTCTTCTTGGTCTACCTCCGCCTCGTTTCACGATGAAATGTCGAATGGGACGGGAGGACGTACGCTGCCTTTAACGTTCATGTCTGCGTTGGCGTCCATGAGGAGTCGCACAATGTCCAGATAATTGAATTTCACAGCCAGAATCAGAGGCGGGTCTCCGTAATAGTAACGTCGTCAAAATGACATTGCCGTTTCAGTAGACAATATGTAGTTCAGTCAAGGACGTACACAAGAATACTCGGTCGACACGTTCTGCGTCAGCAAGTAGCGAACGACGTCCGTTTGACCACAGCACGTAGCAAACCACAAGGCTTCCTACAACATAATACAAAGATACATTCAGGATGTCAAGAGAGTACGCCGTTGTTAAAGTTGGGATTGACGCTGTCCTCTTCCACGAGCCACTTTACGTCGGCCAGTCGACCACCTCTTGCAGCGAGGCAAAGTGCTTCCTACATATCAGCATACAATGGTTGCACTCGTCGCTTCCTCCTTCGTCGTTGTCTACCTCCTTTAGCGCGGCCATGACTTTTCTTGTCTCTGGCGACATCCAAAATGCAAATGCAAAAATTAGATCGCCCCTTCCAATCATATGCTGTCATTTTGGGCCTCTCATTTTTGATTGGCCAAAATGAGTTACGCATTGCAATATCCCAGGACGATGCCACGTCATGTCCAAGACCTGCATGCACCAGTCAGTACTAGTACATTGCTGAGCGTCACAAGAATGCCCCTCTCTACTGGTAACAACAACGGCCACGAAGTGCTCAAGAGGCCAGCGTCGCCGTATTGTTGTGGTTCCAGGCCGCGCAGGTTGCCGCCTTCAACGTCCAAGATGCTGCCCGCGTTCCCGGCCGCGGCCGCAAGGAGCGTGGTGGAGTCATATATCCTAGTCGATGGAGTCTGTCACGTGCCAACGCTCTCATCTCTCTCGCCTAGCCTCTTGTGCTGCCTTCACTTCAAATGCCTCGGTGACCAATGCGAACCCATAAGTGGCGTGCGTTTAGCCAACCCAGTTCTGGCGGTATCCGGACACGACCAACACCAGCAACGCTCTACCATGCTCCTCGCGGCCGCGGCCGGGAACGCGGTCAGCATCTTCGACGTCGAGGGCGGCAACCTGCGCGAAGGCCGCAAGATCAGCAGCGCGAGCGAGACGACGGCGACCTGCGCGGTCTGGAACCACAACAGTACGGCGCTCTTCCTGGCTCATGATGGCTCATGATGGCTCATGGCAGATCGTATCCTGGCGAGCGCATTTGCCAACGGCCTCCTCTCGATCAACACGCTCACTGCGCGCGAGCCATCGCTGTGCAACCTGCAGGAAGGCTCGTCGCCCGACAAGGTACAGTGGTGCGATCGATGCGCCCACGGATCAGCGACTCCTGCGATGACCAGCGCGTCAACGCCGTTCAATTTAGCGCCGGGTCGCGCTACCTCATTAGCGGCGGCGCCGACCGCGTTGTCCGCGTACGTTCTCTTCTTGCATGCTGCTCGTTTGAGGCGAGAATCCATTGTTTAGTTTTGGGACCTCAAGCACCAGCAGCTCAAGCACGTCTTCCCCGAGTGCTCGAGCGCGATCCAGACGCTCGCGTTCACGGGCCAGAGCGACGAGCATGTCGTCGCCGGCAGCGAAGCGTACGCTGCTTCTTCGCTGTACCTCGCCTGACGCACGTGCGTAGGGGCGTCGTGTATCTGTATACGCAGAACGGCACGCAGTCGAACGTCCTGCAAGTCGACGGCGAGGTACGGCCCTTTTTGTTGCACGTACAATATTGTCGTGGCGGGTATAGACGTCGCCAGTTCAATTCCTCCAGTCGTCGCCGCACCCGTTCGTACGTGACAAGGTCGGCGCCGTCTACGGCTCTGGGTCGCTGCGGGTCTGGGATGCCGCGACCGCGTCGGTAGTCTCGAGCTTTGAGCATCTCGTACGCCGTCTCTACTTGGTTGAAATGGACATGGATGGATGCGTAGCACTGGGCGCCGGCGACGGCGCTCGCCTTTTCGCCCGTGAGCAAGAACCTCGTGGCGACCGCTGGCCTCGACAAGCGCATTGTTTTCTGCGACATTGCCCAGAAAAAGTACATTATTGTCTGTCCCGTCGGACAAAGAACAAGTGGATACTTGGATGCTAGAGAGATGAACTGCCTCGAAGGACCGTACCCGATCACGTCCATGTCTCTCTACTCGAACGGCCACTCGCTCGCGACCGGCACCTCGACGGGTCTTCGATCCTCGCTATGCGACATTCTTTTGATCGATTTTACTGGATATTAGGGCACATTCTTATGTACGACATGCGTCGGACGGCCAAACCGCTCTCCGTGCACTTGATTGACGCGCAGAAACCCGAGAGCGTCAATTTCCTCCAGTTTGGCTCGTCCCTTGACAAGGTCGGTGCTTCGATCCTCGCTACGCACCTCTTTCTTTTCCATAAATCAAATCGCGGTAGGTGCGCAGCATGGACGATCCGTACAGTCGACCCAAGGCGAAGAAACATCATTCGTTCAGTATGCAGGGCATGCAGTCGTCGCTCCAGCACCTCGCGACACCCAAGGAAGTGCCCGCTGCCCGCGCTTCGTTGTCTCTGCCATCGTCGCCTCTCGTGCAACCACCGGTGCGTCCAAAGCATTGCTACGGCGATGTCAAGATACCGCAACGACTACGGTAGGTGCTCGCGGACTCGCGGCCCGTCACCAACCGAACGAATGACCCGACGCCGTCGACAACGCTCGATACATCGACGCAGCAGTGGCTGCAACGGGAGCTCGAGACGATGAAGCAAGCACTCTCGGACGAGATCGCCAACGTGCATCTAGAGGTTCTTCGACAGCACCAGGCCCAACAGGTAGTAGCAGGACCCTTTGTTGTGGGTCCCGTTCCATATCAAGCGCCATTGGTAGACGGAGATGACGCGGGCGCTTCAAGACGTCACCAAGCAGCTCCAAGCCATTCTGGCCGAAAACAAACGTCTCCACGACGAGAACGACCGACTACGCAACGTGTTTTAAAAGTCATCAAGACAACGCGTGGGTCGTCCAGGATCGAAGTGCGTACTAGATGTACAAGCTCTCAAACGACTTGGTGGTGGCAGCATCGTCGAGGCTCTTGGTTGTCGGGACTGACGAAAGCCCGAGATGCGCTAGCAGCGGGGCAAAACAGCGCGTCGACTCGAGCAGTGACGTTGTCGGGTGCAGCAGCGAGACAAACACCGAGGCGCGGCGACGGCGAAGCGTGCACTAGAGTCAGACTTGTACAACCTTAACAAGAAAGGTGCGAGCGTAGTACATAGGTGAGGAGCGCGGCTGGAATGCCCGTCACGAAGCGTGGCGCAGGCAGCATGGGCACCTCCTACGCACATGCATATATGTTGATGATCATCCGAGATAGGTGCTGTCGACGGAAGGGTCGTACCGAGAGAGGCGACGACGCAAGCTGGTAGAGCACACAGCCGTCGTGCAAGGTGGCGTCGTATGTGACCGACATGAGGGCGCTCAAGGACATGACCTCCTGCGGCGCGACGTGGGCAAAGAGCGCATCAACAAACGTCCACACGTCGTTCTCGGCGACCTCGAGCGGCGCGAGGAGCAGCAGCGTCTCGGGCGTGAGGGCTACGAGCGCGCAGACCGCGGCGGGTCCGGCGCCAAAGGTCGTGTGCGCCTAAGGAGATGGATGAGGTCGTACGCGACGAGGACGATGCGTACGATCGGCGTCGTCGAGAGGACGAGCGTGCCAAGCACGGGCGAGCCCTGCGAGATGGTCTTGGCAAACGCCGTGGCCTCGGCGCCGGTCGCGACGAGCAAGCGCGCTGGCGTCAAGCAGGTTTCGTTGCGGCGTGCGAGGTCCGCTCGCACGCTCGGACTCCACTACGCCAGGAGGTATGAAGATGGGTGGGCAGGCAGCTAGCGTACGCGGAAGATGGCGTCGGCTAGCGCGGGCGCGGGCGCTTCCTCGACGTCGACGAACGTGCGCGAGTGGAAGTCGGCTTCTTCAGGGTACCGGAGCTGGAGTGCCATGCTGCGGCTTGTGGGCTTTTGACCTTGTCGAAATTTCTATTCATGGAAGGGGGTGCTCGTACCACCCCTTGTATGTAATGTCCGAATTGAGTTGTTTGTATTCGCTGTGCTTGCGTGCTTTATTGAATCCACATACGTTGGGTACTGAAGAACCTGGCATCTATCGTCTATGGACTGCTTTTTTCAAGCTTCACGACGCGGTAAGTGTGAGTACAATTGTACCGATGCGGGATTGGAGATCGCGTTCCGAAAGTGGGGTGGCACCGCCACCCCTTTAGATGATATTGCTATCCGGACGTCCGGATACGACTGCACTTGCGTTCGCGGTTCCATCCTCATCCTGCCGCCGGGATCACAATGGAGCGAGCAGCGATCTTTGGCGGAGACGACGACGTCGCCGGCGCGTCGCCCATGAAGGACGAGGCCATGGGCGTCGTCTGGAAGGAGTCGCCAAGCGACAAGAAGCTCAAACCCAGCGGCGCTAGCAACCCGCAGGTCAACGCGACCGAGCTGCAAGGCTTTGTCACGAGCTTGATCACGAGCCCGTCGCCCAACAAGAAGAGCCAAGCCTCGAAGCTCAAGTTCAAGAAGAAGATCGTAGGCGCGCCCGATGGCATCACACGCCATATTGCGTTCAGCCCGGACAAGCATCTGCGACCTCCGACCGTGCCCATCACCGCCTCGCCCCCGCCCGCTCGAAGCGCCGCAAGACAGGCGGCGACGAAGACCAGAACCTGCTCTCGATTCTGCAAAAGATGGACGATGCGTACGCCGACTCGCCCGAGAAAGGCCTCCCGACGCCGTCGACTGTACCTGCACCGGCACCCGCGCCAACGGCGACAACCAGTACCATGCCTGATGTGGACATGGACGACGAAGAGTTCACAGAAGAAGCATGGGGCATTCTCGAGCAGATGGAGATCCAAGCCACGCAGCAGATCCTAGAGCGCGACCAGAAAGCGCAGGCGCGACCACTGGACGCAAGCCCCATGGTCCCGTCCCGCATCGTCGAGCCACGCTCTGGGATGAGCCCCGCGGTCGTACCACGCAATCCACTGCATCAGGTCATGCGCCCGCCACCGCCCGCGATGCCTGCGATGCCCGCGCGAGGTGTACAGCGACAAGTACAAGACGGTCCAGGTCGAGATCCAACGCGTCCTGTGGGGCCAGGCACGACGACGACGACGACGACGACGACGAGCGCACCACCGCCAACTGCGCCAGCGACATTGATCCGCGCCAAGCCCACCGATTACATTCGGCTCGTCGCTCTGGAAGTGCACACGGACCATGCGCAGCGCAAGCTGCTGCTCCGCGCGATCGACGACGAGGCAGTTGTGCACGACGTCGTCTTGGCCGACGACTGGTTCGACACGCCGCTCTCGGTCGGCGATACGTTCAACTTTATTTGGACGACGCCATGCACGTCGCCGCTCATCGCGACCAACCGCGCCCACCTCGTGATCGTGCACCCTGATATCCTCGTACGGCCACTCACTATCCACACAACGATCCATGTA